CGTTTGTATGTAGGTAAACACATCCTACGAATTTAAATTTAAAATCTGCATTAAATCTTTACAGTCTAGCTGTAAAAACAAACTCCTAAATACAAGAAAATGTCTCATCTAGAATTATCATTGTGGATTTATTTTGAGTTTATATCATGTAGGTATTTATAGCCTCAGCAAGGAACATTTCCTATCTAATTCAAAGCACAGAATCATGGAATCATTTTGATTAGGAAAGAGCTTTAAGATCATCTAGTTCAACTATTAACCTAATGTTACCAAGTCCACTGCTAAACCATGTCCCTAAGCACCATATCTACATGACTTTTAAACACTTCCAGGGACGGCCATTCAACCACTTCCCTGGGCAGCCTGTTCCAGTGCATCATAACAGATAGAGTCAAACTATTGTTTCATAGGCAGGTTTAGTAAGCCTGATGTTTCACAGCTCTTCAATGCACAGCTTTGGAATTTTAATGTGTCTTATGTTGTTACATAGATGCATCTAATCTGTAGGACGTAAACTAGAACAATATCCCTGTGTGTATATTACACACACTTCTATATATCTGTGAGATTTTCAAGAATTTTCAAGAGATGCTTTTTTTGGAAAGAAGAATAGCAGAAAGTTCAACTGAGCTAAGCATACCCCTTCAGATTCCAACATCCAAACATATATATATTTATGTTGTGTCAGAAAGGCAGTTATTCAGCAGAAACGATATTACAAAACAAGCTTGTGACCTAAGTTTTCCAGATGAGATGACTACTTCATACAGACAATGCAGCCAACAGTGATAAAGTGAAAAATAAGAGAACAGCTTCTCAAATTATTTTCTGCTATCCAGGAAGCTTTTCTTTGAAGAAGACTCTGGTGGGAATTATTTTCTATTTTTAAATCAAGATAATTAAGGTAATAAAGGATTCTACATAAGTATCCTGACAGAGATTTCTTTTATGATAATATATCTAGATTGAAATTTCTAGATTGATTTTTTTTTCCAAATAAATATGTTCCAGCACTTAATTTTCTATTGAAAACCAATAATGTCAATAATATTTGTAAGTAAAAATTTTAAGTCAATCATTTATGACATAAATGTACCTAAAGAAATCCTGATATTGACACTTTCCTAAAACTTAGCTCTTTTCTCCAAAATTCAGATGTATAAGGTTTACAAGTAAAGATCACACGATAGTGAGATTTTTTTAAGGGAAAAAACACAAACAGTTGATGCTGACACAAGATTGAGAAGAAATAAACAGTTCAGTATACTTTTTTTTCATCAAAAAACTTTAAAACATGCAGTTTCATCAGTGCCAGGAACTGATTTCAAATTTGTCACCTGATGCCAAGTCATTGCTGTATTTTAACAGTGTATACAAAAAAAAAATTAACAATCAATCCAAAATCAGCTGTGTACTATATACAATACATAACTGGTAATGTAAAATTGGTTTTCTGAGTAGCATTTTTTACAAGATAGTTTCAAAACAGAGTGGATCTTCTGTGGCTTACCTTTGCACTCAGGTTGTCTTCCTGTCCAACTTCCGTTTGCCATACAAGTCCTTTCTTCTGAGCCATGGAGGATATATCCGATATTACAGCTGAAACGTACTGTGCTTTTAATTTTAAAATTGTTTTCTTCTCTAGACCCATGACCTGGGATACCTGGATCACCACAAGATCCAGCTGTATCACCTAGAATTTAGAGTGCAAAGATTAGAATAAATATGAAAAATTATTATGGGGTTGAACTTGATGATCTCCAGAGGTCTCTTCCAACCCATAACATTACCTGATTATGATATTGTATGTTAAAAATACATTTCTATGTATTTATTAATAAATTTGTATTTTTAGAAAAAAACATCCAAATTCCCTTTAGACCATCCTAAACTTTTGGTAGGTGAATCATCAAAGAAGAACAGAGAAAGAAAAAGAAAATGAAAGCCACGAATCCTTGGCCAATTTTCATTTCAAATAGGGAATTCTGAGGAAAACAAATGTCCTGATCTTAATGACATTTTCCTTGTTTGACTATAACAAATGTTTACAAAACACTTCCTAGTTTTATGATATCCATACAGTTGTAACAATTTTATCATTGAATGAAAGCTCTAGTCAACTATTTTATGTTTATGTGTCATGAAGCATTTCCATGCTTTATAAAAATGAAAGTTTACTTAAAGAATGTCTAAAATCTCCCTGCTATAAATGTTTAAGCAAATTCTAAGATGAAGGGTTAATGTTTTCTGCTATCTGTTGTATGTTAATGTTAATATAATCAACATAGTCATAAAAATCCTAATAATAACAATATCTAGGATTCTATATCTAAACTTTCATTTATGGTTAGAACTTTTAGGAAGCTCTAGGTAATGCTATTTGCACAGCAGGTCAGTTGCTTAAATTTTCCAATATGTATGTATAATCTGCTGGTTTATCTTCTTTGAGGTCTTTAAGCTAGTTTTCTATGTAGCAGATGAAGGATCTTGTATTACCGAATTTCAACACAAATGAGTTGAATCTTAGAATTTTTGGAGCTGCCCTGTTCAAGTTTTCACCCATAGACATTCAGTTTATGATTTTCTGTGACAACTTGCAAATAAACTGAATAGTCTTCTATAGAAAATATAATTCAAACACCATAAGAATTTTGAGAGCACACCTGCATTATTTTGTACTTACACAAATGAAAATAATGGAGGGATATTATAAGAATCAGCTGGAAGGTTTCAACTGAGCTACTGAAGAATGTCATATAGCTGTACATTAGAGACAATTATATTAAAAGATTTGTACAAATTATTTAAAGAATACTTTCTGTAGGATAGCGATACATTTCTGGTATTTATCTAAACTTAAATAGCAGTAGTAAGAGAAGTTCCTACATACACATAGCAAACAAAGTTGCTTGTCCCAATTACCCAGGAGACCAAAAGTGACAAACTCACTATCTAGAGGTTCTATGGGAAGTTACGACCCTGGAGTTGTAGACAGAAATACAGAGTTTTTCTTGCCTTAGTTGGAACTGTATGTGTGTAAACTATGCTGTTGGAGTGACTGATGAGACACATGTTTTTATTAAAGAAGGTATGTACAGAACCAAACAGTGAAAGGAAGAAGAGAAAAAACAGCTTACTTTGCTTTGAGAATTGCAGTGTATCAGCAAATACTTGGTTTAGTTCAATAGATCCAAGAAGCTGTCCATATTTTTGTCTCTTGTGAAGGCAGTTCATGTGCCAAACCTCAGTTTTGTAGGTCATGCTTACTACTTTTTATTTCCTTCCATATAGGCAATGCTCCCTTGTTTCCCCAGGAACTCATTGAAAAACAATAGAACTAAGAACTTTACAAGGGTTTACAAGAACTGCACAAGTCCTATAGGCTTGTGGTAAAAGGGAATACAGCTATAGAGCCTCAGTATGAAGGCACATCTGGAGAGCTAAAGAAAAGGACAGTACTTTGCTTGCAAATGCAAAAGAACAAACCTGGCAGCTCATACTCTCTACTCAACCCTTTGCTGAAGCAGCTGGCAAGGTAAGCTAATTGTGAATCACTTTGACTAATCTAGGAGCCAATTTTATCGTTACTTGTTAACCAAGGTTATACTGACATCTTTCATTTGAGAATAATCATACCAACTAATGTAGTCATGCCTATTAAATTGTGAACTGCTACTGTGTGTATTTACAAAAAGTACTTGTTCCTCAGTATTCTAACGCTTTCAGAAATAACAACGTAGATCAAGTAAGTTTAAGAACTTGCTGACTGTGGTTCAAAATCACAGATGCAGAAGTCTAGGCTCTCCTCATTTCTGTGTTTCATTATGTGACACAGAGCAGTAAAGTAGCCTGCCAGCCCTGTTGAAAAACAAATTGTAAGTAGTTCCAAATAACAGTAAGAAAGATAATTTTATAAGCTTCACATCCAAACTACTTAGGTGACTAAACATCTGTCTAGTTTGAAAATCATGGAATCAGAATGTTTGGGTTGGAAGGAATTTTAAAGATTATCTAATTCCAATGTCCCTGCCATGGGCATGGACACCTCTGAATAGACCGGGTTGTGCAGGGCCCCATCCAACCTGGTCTTGAACACCTCCAGGGCTGGAGCATCCACAACTTAACTGCACAACCTTGTTCCAGGGTCTCACCAGCCTCATAGAGAAGAACTTCTTCCTTACATCTAATCTAAATCTACCCTCTTCCAGTTTGAACCCATTAGCCCTCATCTTATCATTATGAGCCCTTGTAAAAAGTCCCTCCCCAGCTTTCTTGTAGGCCACCTTCAGATACTGAAAAGCTGCAAGAAGGTCTCTCCAGAGTCCTCTTTTCTCTAGGCTGAACAACCCCAACTCTCTCAGCCTATCCTCACAGGAAAGGTGTTCCAGCCCTCTGATCATCTCTCATTTTCATTTCATTTACATATTTCAGTATTGTGAAGAATTTAGGACACATCCTATTCATTATTGTATACCTGTACTTCTTATATTTTTCTACAATAATAACTCAGTTTTGAGCAAGTTACTTGGCATTATGCTGACAATAATTTAATGATAAAAATATGAAAGTAGGCTTTTTGCTATGCCAAGTATAAATAACATATTTCTTGTAAATGAAATCATGCGTTCTTTTCTAATACCTAATTACTACTGTAAATTATTACTCTTTTAATCTCAGGGAGGTTAACCCTGAGCTCTTTTGATTGAAGGTTACAGAAATAATTTTTCTAAATGTCTAGTCACATCAGGAAGTGACAGTGATATAATCAATGATATCAGAACACATTTTTATTACCTCATGCAGAGATTCAACTGAGTGATTTTCGCAGGCAGTTATGAGCCATTCTTTACCCACATGTGAAACAAATTCTCAGTTGGCATTTAATCTTAATGAAAAGGCAGGTATTTAGACCATTTAAGTAAGTACACAATCATTGCTGCACTTATGAGGAATTCTAAGATGCTGCAAATTTCTGACTCCAGCTGGTATGCATGTGATAACTGACAACTGTGTTTCTGAATGCAAATATATATCAATGGAACATGACAATTCCTTCTAGCTCTAAGATGTGAAACACAGTGCCATACGATAGAAAGGAAACTAATTTAGGGATGTTGTGACACAATTTCATTACCTTGTTTGCTGATCTAGTATTTTCTCTTTGAATTCTTCTCCATAAATGAAAAAGAGAAGCGTGCTGTATCTTTTATCAGTCAATCATTCTAGATATTTTATTATTGATATAATCAACCAAAAATACAAATTTTAAGGATTTAATATGAATTAAAAATGAGGAGATGAAGTCTCCAAGTCTAATACTGAAAGCCGATGATTTTGTATATTTTTAGACAGAAAATATGGAAATTCCATAAGGTAAACTGCACATTATTTATAAATTAGAAAACATTTCAGAGATACATTTTAAAAACAAAGTTTCAAAGTTGTCTTAAAATAGATCTATAGCTGGTAAAGCATGTAAGAAGATAATAGTTTGTATTCTGTCACAATTTGATTTGCTATGATTAACAATTGAATCTGTGTTAATGAAACTGTTCTTACGTATTGAGAAAAATACATTAGATCTGATTAGAGTTTCCCATCTGTGGGTACACAAATTGCCATGAGAAACAAAAAAGGATTTTCAGGTACCTCACTTACAAATGCTTATCCCAGATACCTGGAGAGTTATAAAATTTAATAGCAGGATGATTATCAAATAGTATAATTTTCAGTAATATTTCTTTTATATTTTCATGTACATTTTAAGGTTACCTATTTGCACTGCTTGATATTTTTGTCTATTTCTTTAATTCTTTTAATTCACAAATTATTTTTTTTTTTCCTTATGAAGACTATGGAAAAGTACAATAAGTAACCTCAGATTTTATCTTAAGAGGATTTTTTCCCTAAACCCGAATATATATGTATGCTAGTTGTAAAAACATTTTTAATTAATTTAGTTTGAGTTTTCAATTCACATAAATTCACATCAATAAATTCTTATTTATTAAGTAAGTATTATTTTACATAAAGCTTTCATTTCTGGTGCATAACTCTAAGCATCATAAGTTATAAGAACTTGATCTTTGTTCCCATTGTGGCAAATTTCCCTGATTTTGTTGATAGACAGTAAAGGGATTAAATTAGGTCTTCACATTTTCTAGTTTCTGTCACATTATAGATTTTAATGGCAGATATTGGAAGAAGAGGGACTCACAGAGCTTGATAATAACATTTAGATTGTTCTTGTCTGCAACCACTTCTTAAAAGTTTGCAGTGGAAGGTTCACATACTGAAAAATTCTTCCAATACTTTGGAATTTAGTGCAAGTTTTTAAACAAGAAGTACTAATGTTTATATTTGTTACTGATTTTTAACCACCTCTGTACCATGGTCTGAAAAAAAATCATGTTCTCTAGCTGGCAAAATCAGTTTATACCTGAATGTAGTACAGAGAGAAAGGCAGGACAATTGAAAAAAAAAAAAAAAAGGACTGGAATATGTGAGACCTCACCTTGAGTACTGCATCCAGCTTCAGAATCCCCAGGACAAGAAGGACATGGACCTGTTAAAGCAGGTCCAGAGGAAGGACACAGGAATGATCAGAGAACTGGGACAACTCTCCTATGTAAAAAGGCTGAGAGAGCTAGAGCTGTTCAGTCTCTGAAGGGAAGGCTCCGAGGAGACATTACTGCAACATTTCAATGTATAAAATATATAAGAAAGTTGGAAAGGAACTTTTTGTCAAGGCCTGTAGTGACAGGACAAGGGGCAACAGTTTTAAACTGAAAGAGGGTAGGTTTAATTTGCTAAAAGGAAGACATATTTTACAATGAGTGTGGTGAGACACCGGAAGAGGTTGCCCAGGAAAGTTGTGGATGCCACATCCCTGGAAGTGTTCAAAGTCAGGCTGAACAGGGCTTTGCAGGACCTGATCAGGCTGAAGAAGTCCCTCCTCATTGCAAGGGTTTTCAACAAGATGATTTCTAGAAGTCCCTTCCTACCCAAACCTATGATTCTATGATTCTAGTGGAAGATGCCCCCCTGTGCCCTGTGGTGGGCATCTGGGCAGGTTAGACTAGATGATTTTAACAGGCCCCTTCTGACACAAACTATTCAATGATTCTATAATTTACTAATGCTGTAAAGAAGCTTGGATTTTTAGTGTTAAGCTGGTAACAGTACTGATAGATTTGCATAGGTCATTTTTCACCTCTTGTTTTGGAATAACTGTAATCCAAGAAAAATTTACTTGTTTTCTTCCTGTTTTCTAACTTTGAATACACTCAAGTTTTCTGAATTACACAGGTCTGAATAAGGTCCAAAACTCCACTGATTTCTTTAAGCTATATAATCAAAATATGAAGATGACAAGGAAGACCCTTCCCCCAGTATTTGTTGAGAATTAAACTTGTAACATGATCAACTCTACCACAATATAAGATTCTGTAAGATTCTTACATCTAGAAGATGAGAAATGGGACTCAGCCACATTCCAAATTAGTGAGTGACTTGGATTTCTCTGTTTCACTTGATCACTGCTGATATCAAACTGGAATCAAAGTGAAGTTATGAAACAGAGCAGTTCTGAACATCATTTTGCAGAAAACATATCACAACTTTGGGGAAGGCTAATCTATTACAAGTACTAGGTGGTATTCCCTCAAAAACTGAGCATCCTATCTTGAATTTATGTGGAGCCCACTTGGCCTTATTATCCTGCAGTGTCATCAAGTCAGTTGATATTTGGCAAGTTAAAAGGAGAGGAAAAAAAAAAAAAAAAAAAAAAAGGCAAACTGATCACCTTGAAAAGATAATGAATAATGACGTAAAGTCTCCCTATGGAAATTAATACTCTTTCCAGAAGTCACATAGAAAATACTTTCAAAAGAAAGTGGTTCTTTTAACATTCTATCGAATGTGCAATTTTTTATTCATAGTAAACATCACTGAGAAAGTCTGCTTCTCCCAAATTATTTTAAAAATATTACCTGAGCAGTGAGGAAGAGATCCACTCCAGTGTCCGTTCAGCTGACACGTGCGAGATGACTGCCCTAGCAGCGTCCGTCTCCCCGTGCAGGTGTAATGAACAGTAGACCCAAACGTGTACTTGTCTCCAGACAGCACCGCATTAGGAGGAACGCCAGGATGGCCACAGTCAATCACTACAATGCATAATTATTGGAGATAAAAAAAGGTTATTATCACTGATCAAACAGTTTGTAGTTACCATTTTCACAGCTCCTTACATAAACTTTGTAAACTTTGACAAACCTATAGAAGCCCTTATTATTCTGTGTGTCCTCTGCCACGTTCAGCTCCAGCCACCCCTTGGCCTTCCTAACCCCATCCCTACACAACCAGGCAATGTTCCTATATTATTCCCAGGATACCTGTCCATGCTTCTGCTGTCTGTGCAGTTGCTTCTTTTCCTTTTGTTTGACTGACAGGTCTTGATTCAGCCACGCTAGTCTCTTGGCTTCCTTGCCTGATTTCTTACACCTGGGGATCGGGAGCTCTTTCACTCTATAGAAAGCATCCTTAGAGACCCTGTCAGCTCATCTAGTCCTGTTCCACCTGTACAGTACCTTTATATAGCCATGTAAATTTAATTTTACATTAAGCTTTGATTCAAAGAACAAACAATAAAGGAAGAAGCAAAATACAAGAGAATAATACTATTAATCTCCTTCAGAGTATGTAAAAATGTCAGGTCAAAAATATATGCAAATAATCATTTTGCTGGTGTAACATTTCAATGACTGTTTCTTTTTCTCTGAAAAATCTCAATAAACAATATACACAGCTATTAACGATTATGGATGAGACATAATGCTCTGAAAAAAAAATAAACAGAAAAAAACAGAAGAAGTGTAAATTCACATTCTCTTCTGGTCAAATGTGATGATATATCAGTAAAATTAGAAGCATTATTAGTTTAAAGGCAGATTAAAATTATAAATGTGCAATTAAATTTAAAAAAAGTTATACCCTAACTTGAATACTGAATTAAAAAGTACACCTGAAGTTTCTTTAATCTGTATAGATGTCAACAATCCTTATCATTCTATCAGATGGCTTGGAATGGCTGTACATATCGTATTGTGAGGGAAGATATATCAGGACAAGATGCTGCAATAAAATTACTAAGAGGATTGCACAGACAGCAGAAAAAAAAAAAAAACAAAACAGTCTACATTATTTGGATTTCAAACTTTGAAGGTGTGAATTGTGTACTCACATCTTGGTACCTTAATAATAACAAATCAGAACATATCTATCAAAATTCAATTGAGAATACTTTAAAATTTTAAAAAAAAAAAAAAAAAAAAAAAAAAAAAAAGAGTCTGATATGGTCACATGAATTCTTTGAGGTATATAGTCCAAATATATCTTTGATTTACAGTACATTTCAAATTTAAGGTATTTTACTATCAACATGCACCTAAGTAGCTTATGCCCCTAGAAGTCTTTAGTTCAATGGGAGAGTTGAAAGGGCATTATGATCCAGGCCAACACTGTATTCAGCTCTGTACAGGACTTACAGGAGCTAGAAGTACTCTAGCTACAACACATTTCAAATGAATGGAGCCATTTAATAGGTGAAGAACATTTCCTTTGTTACTATGTCTCTTCTTCATTACACTAGTGATAATTAAAAAAAAAAAAAAAAAGGTATGTTTTTTGAGGATAGTTAGAGAGTGATTGATATCCAGTTAGGTAAAAAAAAAAAGAAATAAAAAATCCAATCTTGATTAAAAAAAAAAAAAAGAATCCAGTAGGCTTTCCACTTCTTTTCAATTACTTTTATAGCAGAAAAATATGTAGGCTACTAAACGACTGCCTTGCTTATGTCCAAAAGGGAAACAACTTGCAAAACACTCAGGGAGCTGAAAGGCTTGTATAGAAAAAAAAAAAAAAAATTAAAAAAATCATTAACTACAGAATAGTTTTGGTAAGCTTTATGACTCCAAAACGTCATGGATAGTGCCTAGGTTAGAATTCATTGACCCCTTTATATAAACAACAGAAATAAAGGTGAGGATGGCCTTTCTAAAGTACATATAGCATTTTTACTCCCAAAGGGCAGGTTAAAAAAAGAGTAAAATCTGTATTATTGAATTACTTGTGACAACACTGAAAAAAGAGAGATAAAAATACAAAATCAGAACGAAGAAATCTTTGCACCTTTGCCTTTAGTATTTCTTTCTCTTTGGAGAGATCTTGCTATTAAGTAACATTTGTCTTTCTGAACTTATGTTTCCTTAAAATCTCATGTGAAACTGTAAGACTCTTTGTTATAAGTGCAACTGTGACTTGCAATGAAGCTATTTACCTGAAGGCAGGAAATTAGAGGGGCCAAAGCCCAACTAGAATTTAAATTGGCCACTGCAATAAAAGGCAATAGAAAAGGTTTCTGTCAATAGATTAGCAACAAGAGGAGGGCTAAGGAGAATCTCCATCCTCTATTGGATATAGGGGGAAACATAGCCACAAAGGCTGAGGAAAAGGCTGAGGGACTTACTGCCTTGTTTGCCTCGGTCTTCAACAATAAAACCTGTTATTTCAGTGTGATTATAACTGTAGTCAAGAAGGCCATGTTTTCTCAAAATTATTGGTTATGTTCTGATCTTCTATAGCTGCTATCAGGGATCATTGTGCTGAAGCATTCAGAGATGTTTGTTTTGGTCATTGGATTTCCTAAGGTTTCTATGTTACGTGCTACATACAGTAATAGTATAACTGCACTGCTTCAGGTGCTACTGAGACCTTCCACCATCACTGCACACACATAAATACATATAAATATGGTTATTCTAATTGTTTTCACAAGACTGATGAAAATCTTTTGTAATACGTAGTCTAGCCTACATTCTTTGTAGAAACATACACATTATCTACTTACTAATGCATTCAGGTAGAGGTTTGTCCCAGTGGCCGTTTGGTTGACAAATTAAAACTGAAGAGCCAAATAAAAAATATCCAGGATTACAGTCATAAAATACTACTGTGCCATATGTGAAGTTTCCATGTTCGATTTTACTTTCTCTTATAGAATTTGCAGGAATTCCAGGATCAGAACAATTGACCACTATAAAGAAAAAGAGCACAGACTTGAATCATAAAAATACAGTCTACTAAAACAATCTCTAAATAGTCTCCTATCCTTTGCATGAGAAACTTCCGGTATATTGCCACCATGATTCTCTATTTCCTGATTTTATATATAATAATGATACTGAATTAGGGACATGTTATGAAACCACGAGATGTTAAAACCACCAGATGCTACACTTAGAGCAAATAAAAGGAAATACATCTTCAGAGAGTGTGATGATGCTGTAAAAATATTTGTAACTAAAAGTGACTGGACATACCGATATATTAAATTTATACTCTTGCACTGACATAAACTGTTGCTCCAGCTGGAAATAGGTTATGGGCCTTGGTTTAACCCATACAGCCATGCAAATGTACTTGTGTTCCTCTACCCTGTTTGATAATAGAGAACCTTCAAGGCAAATGTCTTGAATTAAAGGGCACATGATCGGTTAGGTAAGACTGTGGTAATTCTGTAAGGACAGGGAAATATCCCAACAAACGGGTATGTGCTTTTAAAAATATGGGTATACTTTGATGGTTAAGAGTACTGATGGTTTTTTTGAGCCCTCAACAACTGTAGTTTTCTTATGTTTCAAAATCACTGAAGAAAGACTGTTTAATTGTTCTTTGGTTTGGGTTTTATGACTTACAGGTCTTTGGTGAGGAGAGTATGATACTTATTTGGAGGGTTACGGAGACTTTTTTAACAGTTCCTATGCAACAGACTCCTCTGGTCAAGTAAATACATCCTCACCTACACAGTTACTCTACAAAACTACAATTCATGTAAAAAATACTATCCCTATATCCTTGTAATCAATTGCATGTTTATATGCATACATATATTTGCACACAGGTACATACACATCTAATATATCCATGTGTGTATGTGCATGGTTGTGTGTACATAAAATACCAAAATATGCTAAGAAACTCTGTAATCTAGAATGAAAAATCTATTGCCGAATGTAATTTAATTTTTCATACTTACATCACTCAATGTAGTTATTTTATGGCTCAGCTACTTCTCTCTAATCACTATGCTAAATATTGGAGTCTGCTTGTGTGGTCCTCCTAGCAGTTCTCAAATACTGGTACTGCAAGACTAGAATATATACAATTTTCAAAGGCAAAAATAATTTCCTGGTTGGATTTGACTTCCTTAATATTAAATGATAGATAAATCTTTTTAATTATACTGATGGACAGTGCTGAAAATTTGTTACTTTTTTTCCTGGAGGAAAACTTGAACTATATTGCTATCTGTTTTCATTGTTGTAGACAACCATTTTATAACAACTGAACATTAATTTTCAGGCTATTAGGCATGTACTTTAAGTAATGAAAATTATTCATTAACAAATCTCGAGTAGTGAACGCTTGAGAGAACATACAAGGAGTTTGACCGTTTCCATAGTTTTTCACCAGTATTGTGGTTTGCTAGGAAACTATCTATTTAGCAAAGCTGTAGACAGCACAACAGCAAGTGTACTGCTGAATTTGTATGATGATTGCAAATTCAGCTTTCAAAAAACAATACAGCATTTTGTATACCATTGCACTTTAGACAGTTTGCAAATATGGAAGATATATTTTAATTACATTTAAATTAAATGTAAAACATTTATTTTTAAATTTGACTTCAATACAAATAGAACAAAATCATATTATTTATAATTGATTACACTACACATTGCAGACACCACTAATTGTGTCCTATACAAAGCTGGTGTTTTTTGTTTCTAAAGTCTTTTTGAAAACCAATAGAAGATGTCAGGACTATGTACAATTTTTAAAAAATGATCTGATCAATTTATTTACTGACCCTCCACAGGCTAATAATATATTATACAGTTTGGCACATTACTCTACAATACCAGCACCACAGGTGATTTATATCAACTGGACTGAAAAGGAGATTTATTAGGTAACATTAAGACAGCATATGCTTAGTATTGTAAATTAAAACAACAACAACAAAAAATTCCTATGCACAAAAAGGACCTTGGAAATTCAAGTCCTCTGAACTATTTAGCAGTATTGCTTAAGGCAAAGTGATCAAAGGAAAGTGGAGAAAACATACAGTAATAAAGTTACTATAAATATATAATGTGACTTAGGCTGTGCCCCGATAAAAATCCGCAGAAGCTGCTGGGAAGATGTTGGAAAACAATCCACACGATTTCTGCATATGTGCAAGCAGGCTACAGCCAAAAGGGCATTTTTCTAAAAGAGAATAACTGAAACATTTTAAAATGTCCTTAACAGACTTGAAAAGGACAACAGTGGTAAAATCCTTCTGAAAGTGTTTATTAAAAGTCAAACAGAACTAATTTCATAGTGTTCTTTTACTTTCAGTGAATACTTTTTATATAAATAAATACAAAATCCAAAAGTGTCGAGAAAAAATTAAAATGGACTATGCTAACACATCAGAATAATAATTTGAAAAGATAAGCACTCAGATTAAAATGGAAATGTAACAGTGAAGAAAAAAAAAATGTTTTCATATGCACCTATTAAAACCAAGCTGCCTAAAAATGCAAAGAACCTTTTTTTCCAGGATTTAAGCTCTTAATCATTTCTGCATAATTTTGCTTAAGGAACATTTCAAAGCTATTTTTAAAAAAACAGTGCAAACTATAGACACATGAGAGATTTTCCTTGCAACAGTTCTCTTGGCAACTTGAATGGAGAACAAACCTAAATGAAAAATCATAGAATCATGAAACATCTTCTTTAATAATTAGATACCTGTTAGTAAGGCATTATTTTGTCTTGACAGTGCCCCTTTACCTTCAGTTTACTTTTCAACCTTAATTTTCCAACCAAGTTGGACATCTGTAAATGCTTGCATTCTTACCTTTGCATATTGGAGGTGGGTGGCTCCACTGCCTGTTAGCCTGACACTGTGCTTTGGTTGGCCCCTGCATAACATACCCGGTATTACATGAGAATGTTACAACATCGTTGAAGTTAAAACCATTTCCACTTGTTCTTCCATAAATTGGGCTACCAGGGTGACCACAGCTAACAGCTGGCATAGCACAAAACAGAGAAAAAAAGCAAACAGAGCATGCTGTTACCACTTTACATTATTTATGTTACAATTGATAATCACTATAGAAGAGTATTTTAAAGTTCTAATAGTATAAGATACTGAGCACTTTCCATGGAATATTCACATTTGTCTGAACTGAGTAAGAACTAAAATGCATTTTAGTAAGTGTTCAAACACTTATTTAAATAAAATGAACAGAATTTGCCATGCAAATGAAGAAAAATTTTGAAGATTTAGGAGAAAAGCAAGCACTTGATTTTCATTACATATGGTCTGAAACTGAAAGGAAACATTTCAGGGCAGTAATTTCTCAGATATTATTTCTCATATTATGGCTTAGTATTGACTCACTCTGTTTTTGTCTTTGAGCCTATCTACTTACTGAGGTTTTAAATTTGTGACTCGATATATGAGACAGTATAGACACTGTGAAAATTTCCCTTGTATTTAAACAAAAACTGACCACAGAAGGTAAAGTTCCTTTTCTGGGCCCACAAAGACCAAAAAGAGTAAGGAAAAAAAGCACAAACTAATTTTCCCAAAATAAGTCAAAGAAGGTGTAAATGTTTTCTTTCATGCTTTAATAACCTCCATTGTTGATAAATAAATTGTTCATCAGTAATTAAAAAAAAACATAAATCACAGAATAAATTATTTAAATTATTCAACTCTTATATTTTTATCACTTTAGAAACTTCATTATTTTTCTAAATTAGTTTTGCCGGGTTTAACAAATATATGTTCTTTTTCCTCTGTGTACCATAATCTTATCATGGTAACTGTAAGAGAAAGTCATTCATATAATCTATATAAATTAACATTTTTAGCAACATCAAAAAAGTGAAAATGGTCGTCAGGAGCTACTATAGCATACAGACAAACCACAGTATACTCTACGAATGACAGTTAAATTGAATTCTGTCTGTTCTATTAATAACATTAAGTTATGTTAATTAAATTTATTCTCTTTATATTGTTATTATCAGAATTTTTTTTATAAGGAATTGCATATTTTCCCCCAAACAGTAATTATAATCATACACTAAACTGTTAAAATTTTTAAAACTGTCAGGCAAGGATATGCAGTCAACCAAAAGAGATGTTTTTAATGTCCATACAATTACAATTTAAAATTTTTCTTGTGAAAGCACAATTATGAAATTTCTATAAAATTTTTAGTAATACTCATGTATCTACAGTAGCAATTCAAAACATTAGTGATACGTCTGCCCACTGTATAAACAAGAAAAATGGAGAATTCAAAAAGATCAGAATTCCTAATTTAAAAACATAATCTCAAAAAAAAACCAAAACAAACAAAAACAGTTAAAACATATAAAGTTAAATAAATAAAGAAATGTGAGACTATTTTTCTGCACCTGGAGTACTGCATCCAGTTCTGGAGCCCCCGTTACAAAAGGGACGTGGACCTGCTGGAGCGTGTCCAGAGAAGGGCCACCAGAATGATCTGAGGGCTGGTGCAGCTCTCCTACGAGGACAGACTGAGAGAGTGGGGGCGGTTCAGGCTGGAGAAGAGAAGGCTCCGAGGGGACCTTATTGTGGCCTTCCAGTATCTTAGGGGGGCCTACAGGAAAGCTGGAGAGGGACTTCTGAGGATGTCAGGTATTGACAGGACTAGGGGGAATGGGGCAAAGCTGGATGTGGACAGATTCAGGCTGGACATGAGGAAGAAGTTCTTCACCATGAGAGTGGTAAGACCCTGGAATGGGTTGCCCAGGGAGGTGGTTGAGGACCCGTCCCTGGGGGTCTTTAAGGCCAGTCTGGATGAGGCTCTAGACAGCCTTATCTAGTGTGAGTTGTCCCTGCTCATGGCAGAGGTGTTGGAACTGGATGATCCTTGTGGTCCCTTCCAGCCCCGACAGATTCTGATCTGTTTTAGCGAGAACTTAGTAGTGTTGGCTTAATGGTTGGACTTGATGATCTTAAAGGTCTCTTCCAACCCAAAGGATTCTATGATTCTATCTCATTTAAACCTTTGATCTGAAGTGGAGCTGTTCTTAAATACCTATTACAAAGTAACAGGTATTACAAAGTAATAGGTATTTCACAGCAGCTTTTTGCAACTCCAAGCTTTCCCCCAAGTCTTGTGTCATTTTCTGAAGTGATGTATTGTGTGTCCTTCTGTATTCAAACAAGCAGCTTCCATTTGATTAGAGGAAGAAACTATGGTTATTTTGTTAACTGTTAGCCTATCCAAACAAGGGGTTTTTTTTTCAGTTCAAACATTAATAATTTAATTTAGAAATTATTAATAATATCTCACTTTAGTGCCTTAATAGTTACATATAAAGAAGTGTGTTGGTATGAAATGTAATATAGAGAAGTAGTGATCTATTACTTTATCATAAAGTGGAAACGAAATTAAGACAGTTATTGTAGTCATTTTATGTATAGCTATTTCTACGTAAAACAAAGTGAAGAGTGATCAGCAAGGGTAGTGAATTAACATTATGTATTACGATTGAGCATTCAGAAAGTTGCTGTTACAAAAATATAGCTATAAAAATAGAATATTTGTAGGCGGACTGATGTATTTTGAATTATTGAAATACAGTTGTAATTTGCTAGAGAATACTTTGAGAACGCTCAAATTATCCTAAACGGAATACAGCATTTTCTGTTGTTACTTAATGGTATTTCATGTGATTAGTTGACACACTTATCATGCTAAAGCAGCCTCATTAGCAAAATTCAAATTTAATGCTAAAAAGGCCAAAATTCAAATCAGGAAACAAAATAACAAAATCTCTGTGATGAGAAGGAAAAAAAAAAAAAGTATGTTTGTTGAAGCAAGCATTATGAACATCAGTGCTGACAGTGTAATTTAAGAGTATCTACTTCTCTAACTGCTGCAGTGAGAGCCACAAAGGGACATAAAGTCATTTTCAAATTTGAGTACCTTGGTGCCTAAGTCACATGACTTTTCAAAGAAGTTTCACATTCATGTATATATGATAGGTATTTAGCAGCCAAAGCAACGGAAATTTGAAGAGACAACAGTAATCTTCACCTAGCAGATGAACCAGATTTTAGCTGGCCACATACTTTTGAGGGTCTGCATTAAGTCTTACTTCAGAAAAATGAATACTAAGTTGCAAAGTTGCTCCTCATCTTGTCTGACATAGACATTCCTGCAACACAAATCAGGGTATATTGCCATGCTTACTTACGCACACAGGATGGGAGCTGACCAGACCAGTTGTGATCCTGTTGACATATTCGTACAGAAGAACCAATCAAACGAAAACCAGGACTGCACTGGTATACAACTGTGTCTCTATAGCCATAATTTTCTCCAATTACTTGACCATTGACTATAAGATCTGGAATACCACAGTGACCGGCTGGATATTTTTAAGTAAAGAAAAAGAAAAAAAGAAAAAATTATCAATAAATATGCCAGAAAAATTTTAAATATAGCTTTGTAATTAAAGCAAAGAAGTGCTGAACATATTTCATTTATGTATTTATTTTTAACTGGCTTAATTCAAAGATTTGTTTTTATTTCCTTGGTGAGACTGCAGTATTAGGTTTGTATAGGTAGGACTGTACATAGATTAAAAAAAAAAAAAAAGACACTGTAGCAAAGAGATTAAATGTTATGCATGTTATCAAATTTCTTTTCAAAAAATGAGTAACTCCTTTTTATTAAAATCCATAAAATCCTATATTATTTCCATTAGTTTTATTTTGGTTAAGATTAAACTTAACAGAGTTAAGATTACATCATTATATCTTTAAAGAAATATAAAAAAGGTCATATAAATACAAAAAAAAGTAATATAACTATTATCAGTATAAATCCAACATAAATATAAATTCATGTAGATGTAATAAATATAACTGCTATGGCTTAGACCCAGCTGGGAGCTGAGCACCACGTGTCTGCTCCAACATATTCTAGTACGTCCAGCATGGAAGCACTAAGCAGCAGTGCAACTTCATTCAGGCCATAGCAGCCCACTGCCAATCTCCACTCTCCACTACACCCTCGTACTGGCCATACGGGGCTGTTGAAGGGTGAGCAAGTTTCCATGATCACCCTCTGGATCTGTAGTTGATCAATCAGTTTTTGGAGGGGGATCAGGGAATATTGGTTGGTGAGATATGGCCACTGGTGCACCATTGTGGTAGCGACTGACAGCTGCTGCTCTTCTTCCCATATCAACCCCACCACTGAAGGGTCCTCTGAGAGCCCAGGCAAGGTGGGAAACTGCTCAAGTTCCTCCAAAGCAGCGATACCAAAGGCCCACCAGTGTCCTTCTGGGTCCTTGAAATAGCTGCTCCTGAGGTGGTCTGCATCAAGGAGGAGCAGAGGCTCTGGACCAGTCACACTGGGGTGTTTATGCCACTCCTTCCCAATTAGACTCAGTTCAGCTTCCAAAACAGTGAGCTGCTGGGGTCACCCTGTCATCATGGCAATACAGATTGCTTCAACCCATCTGTAGCTTGATGGTGTTAGGGTGCACTGTTTGCCCATATCTACTCCTTGTTCTCCTGTGGGTCTGACATGCCAGGCCACCGCATCCACTCAGTCCAGTAAACCCGGTTGTTGCTTTCCTTCACCTGGATGGAGGCAGGGCCCTTCTAATCCTGATCAGAGTTACTCATTTCTTCTGAAAATGATTCAGAGGTCCGTTCAGGAGGATCAGAAGAGAGATCAGACATTCTGCTCTGTCTGGGGAACTTCCTACTGGACAGTGGAGCGGTACTTTTCACCACATGTTGTGTGTCGTCTATATTCCCTCTCTCGGGAACAGGAGTGTCTACTCCTAATAGCTGAGACATGGGCCCATACAGATGGAGAGTAGGGCTTGTCCTCTTCGAATTGCTGGACCTCTTGGGACAGTTCCTCCACAGCTAAAATTCAGTCCATAGGATGGAAGAGCTACTTCCTTTTTGTTATTGGCAGAGTAGAACAGCCAATTCACCTATCCTTGACGGTGGTGGGCTTCGTAGAAACTTCTGCCACGAGTAGTGTGCATCCATCTAGACTTCATCTAAATCTGTAGAACTGCTCATCATTCAGGTCACTGTAAATCACCTCCAAACAGTTAATTCCCTCAGGTACTGGATACCTCTTCTCCATGGTGTTCTGCATACCTGGGTGACATGTAACATATTCCTTGAAGGGGTACTTTTCCTTTATGCTTGACAGAAGTCACCTCCAAAGGCTGAGGGTTTGTGTCTGTTTTCCAATCACCTGGTCAAGGACCCCTTCCCAGGACAGGGATCACAGCTGCTTGGCTTCCCTCCTCACCAGTTTCAAACTACCAGGCCCATTATTGCAGATTGGAGCAGACAGGTGACAATCTGCTTGCCTGATGATGGCTGAATCCCTTTTGTATAACTCGCAACTCGCTCAGTGATCACCTCTGATTCATCCTCATGTTCTTGTGATGGCTCTGGTTAGGTGAAATTCCAAAGCAGTGGAGATGACCATACCCTAGGCACTTGCCCACACTCTCCCACACACCTTGCCACTTATAAGTATGCAGCCTTGGGGCAGATCTCTGGGTGATATTCTTTGAAGAAAATGTGCAACCCTGAACAAAACCTGGGACACATTCAGGCAACATAACACCAAGAGCATGCTGGCTTGGATATCCCAAGGATAGTCAAAATTCTCAAAAGCTGAGAAAGTCTCCTCCCCTGTCTTGCCCATAGATTGGGTGAGATCATGAACAAACGACAAGGCCGCATACACATACCAACTTAACCTCATGGTATAATCATATCAAAGTCAACAACATCCAGCACAGCATCATTGAGGATTGGGTTAAGGATCAGTTGAG